TAATAATCTTTTTTTAATGTTACCTAGAGTTAGCTAATGTTAGCCAGGAGGCTAGCTCTAACACTGATATGATATATGATGTGCATATGTTGATTTAAATCATATCCTTTGAGGGTCCATACACTGGGCCGTTTAGGGGCCCAGACATTTCTGCAGACGGGCCTGCTCACATATATTTGTCTGTTTGCCTTAAATATAGTATTAATCCAGAGGAGAAAATAGTCCCTGATAAATACACCTTTTTCCTCCTCTTTGTGCATAATGTGCCTTAAACATCAGTTCCCAGCCAATTTTTAGTGATATTTATATATTGATTTATTGAATTCCTACAGAGGGACAAAAAGCCTTTTTGCATAGAGAAGACGATTAGCTGTAGAAATTGAAAAAAAAAAAAAATGAGGACTGGCAAATGATTGGTATAATGTTATGTATGAAATTATTTGACATTTGGAAAATTCTCTATATGACATCTTTATCTTGGATTATGAAGAGCTATATCAGCCAGTTCATTCACTTTGTATTTTCTAATTTATACATTGGATATCTATAAATCTGCATTGATTTAGATGTATCTACATCCTAAAGGTATTGTGCTACAGGTGCACACTCTTCAGAACACAACCTTTGCTTTGGGTGACATGGAATAAATTAATAATTCTATGTTTTGAGTTGAGATGACCTTTTCAGAAACAGGTAAAAGTCAATCTTTAAAAAAAATAATCAAACCAAAAACTGCAGTACAAAAAAAAAAAAATGGCTCTCTGTTTTGTTTTGTTGTTACTTAGAGAGACCCAGGGGGCATCATTAGCATTTTCTCCCTATTTTCTCTGCACCTTTTAGTACCTCAAGCCGTTTCTCAACTGTCAGCTTGGCAAAAGAACCTTGTTACTGTAAGAAATGGTATCCTTCTGCTGCAGGAAACATAACTTTAGGTCAGGGGACATGAGTATATTTGGAGATATTTTGGTCACAAACTGTAAAATGTTGACAGAAATGGTATGATTCCTTTTTACTGTACAATACAAAGGCCCGTACTATAAGATAAACTAAATACTTGTTAAAGGTGCAACGATGCGCTTATTTTTTAAATATATGCATGTGATAATCTGCTGTTTCGCTGCACTAAGCATACAGTGTAGGACGCAGGACAGCTCTGTAAGTGCAACATGAAAAGTTTAAAGTAAAGCAGATGCCACCTTCACTCTCGTCAGCCACCAGCCTGATTGCGTCCATCATTTAAATGTGGAATCAAGCTGAAGTGTCCTGTCAAGACATTATACAGCTGGAGAGTACAGGCTGTAAAGTGGAGGATAATGAGACACTTTTCGCTGTTTGGTCAAAAATCGAGTGCCTGGATTCGGAATCAGCAAGTCTGCATGGTTTCACAACTCCTGGAGGCTAAAATCTATCAGCTCTCCCCGCCCCATCTATAATTTGCAGGATTCCCTCACAGCAGGTTGTGGGGGATTTTTGTCAGACAGAAAACTGTTGTAAAAAGTAGCAAATGTTCAGGGGGTGTATTCTCCTTAACTATTTACCAAAGAAGGAAGACATTAAGGCTGTTCTTCCATTTTTTATAGAGAGTAAACTGAGGAGAAAATTGTTTCGTCATCATGTTATACTGCTTACTCCAGGACGTCATATAAAACAACAAGAGTCTGGCATATTAACGTTTCACACAAAGAAATACATTGAAAATCTGGAGAGAACACCAAGCCTTGTTTAAGGTTAAAAAAACACATTTGATATGTTACAATTCACTTAGCAGACGCTTTTATCCAAAGAGAGTCAGTACAACACCAATGCATTCATACACCGCCACCGAAAGCAACGGGTGTTAATGCGGGGTTAAGTGTTTTAACCAAGGACACATTGGACACATTGCCCAGCTGGAGATTGAACCTTGACCTCCCAGTTGAGAGGCGATGACTCTACCAACTGAGCCACAGCCGCCCATATCCCATTAGCTACTGTCAAAACACAGCAAGTGTTAGAATTTAGCCACTTCCACGCTAACGTTTGAAAATCAGAGATACTACAGGAATGCTTATTTCTAGATGTTAATTTCATCTTGAACACATTTAGGTAATTTTAATTAACAGTGAACAAGGTTACAATGTTGGATTAAGTGTGCCCACCTCTGCCCATTTGAGTAGTTATAGATTTCCTTTAGTTCAAGTGTTAACCTCCAAATGAAAGAGAACAAGTTCTTGTTAACGTGTTTCCTCTCCTCTCTCTGCTCTTGTCTTCATCCTCTCCTCCTCCAGTTGCCATGTACAGAGAGCCATCGTTGCATGATGTAGGAGAGACGGTGCCCAAGGCGGCGGTACCCCCCAGTAAAAGCACAAGTGAGCCGGCGGTTATGAACGGAGGTAAACCTGTCAACAAGCCCGACAAGCCCCCCACATAGCCACACCTGGAGGGAACCCAGTGTGTGTGTGTGCGCGTGCTCGGAAGGGCAGGAGGCAGGGCATCTCTTAACTAGACTCCAGACCCTCTTTTCTTCTGCGGATCAAAAACCCAGGCAAACCTCCCACCCTTCCTGTCTCCTCTTTGCTCCTCCCTTCCTCTTTTTTTCTCCGCCTCGTCCTCGTCGGGTTCTGCGGGGGTAGGGGGAAGGGGGGCAGAGTTTCTCCAGCACAGGAGGGAAGAGGACCTCCGATTCATGGAATGCCTTTAGATTCCTCTGAAACTGTGAGAATTCATATTTCACAACGGCGCTTGTGGTACTGTGCTTGCTGACGGTTCATTCAAGAAAACCATCCCCCTCTTCCTCTCTGTGCGGCTCTGTGACAGCAGAGTCTGTGTACCTTCAGATCTATTTTCTATACCACAGTTCACCAGCTATGTTCTGGGATAGAGACTGTATAGATAGAGTAAATATTTGGACTGTCGTCCTCTATTTTTTACGAGTATGTTCCCCTCTCCCTCTCTTTCTATCTCTAGTCACACACTTTTCTCTTTGTCAAGTAACCCAGAAAAAGATCAAAACCATTTTGCAAGAGAGTCGTGTGATTTTCTAAGAAACTTATTCACACAGATGGGGCATAAAAACAAAACAAACATGTATAAAAATACAAAAAAAATCGTCTTGCCTACAACATGCACACACACTTACAGACAGACGTTTAAAAGTTTGCAGGAAAAATCTGAGATGTTGCTTTTTACTGCTGATCAAAACCACACTGGAGGCTGGCAGAAAGCTCCTGCAATCATAGTTGATGAAGTGCTAATTACCACCACTGCAATCAATGCAAGAAGCTCCCTACACACACAAACGTACACACACACACTCCTCTAAACAGATGTGTGTGTGTGTGTGTGTGTGTGTGTGTGGTGGGAGAGCGCCGTAAAGGAATGGTGTATACATATCACTATCTAAGTCCCACCAGCGGTTCAATCCGCCTTCTCTGGTAAATAGAAAAACCTGAAGTCTATTTTTCTTTAAGCTTATTTCTGAGCGTGGGCTCTAGGAATATCTCTAGGCCTTGTAGGCCTCCGTCCCTCACTCACTGACTTCTTTGGACTGCGAGGCAAGGCTTGTGGCTTTGACCCAGATGGTCTCTAACTGCAGCACTGGCAGCCATCTTAAGGCAGTGTCTACTTATAGCCAGTAAACAACATGGCTGAAAACCAAGTAGGCGACGTTTATATTGGCTGCACTCCTATTTGGTTCAGCAAACTAAAGCATGGGCAAGGTTAAAAAAAATTGTGTTCTCTCTTCTTGCAGCAGTTATACAAGAGATGGCTTCTATTGTAACATTTTCACTGTATAAAACTTAGGGAAAATGACTATTAAAACGTTTTTAAATGACTAGATATTATTATTATTATTACTACTATGAGAGGATTTGTCTCCTAGCTCAGCATGCAGAGTCCAGTACTGATCATCTTGGCCTATCACGTGCCTGTTTGGACCTCGATTCCCGGCATGCAAAAACAGGTTCCCAGTCCCCCACTGGGCCAAAGGTGCCTCACCCACCCGATACTACATCTATGTAGAGGACACGTAGCATTATCCATGTTAAGAAAAAACCACACTCAGATGTACTCGTTCTGAAATGACCAAAGTCTTTTTTCATCCCAAGAAGGAACTGATTCTTTAGGACAAAAAAAAAAACAGAAAATAAGTCAAATTCTCTGATTCAATCCATCGAAGCTTTCACTGTGATAGCATTTGTTCTGTCCGACTGAATCTCCCTTTGCTCAGACCAACCCCCCCCCCCCCTCTCTCTCTCCCCCCCTCCCTCCCTCCCTCAGAGGTCTTGACTGATGTCATTTTATCGGAGAAGTACGTATACCTTGAATTAATCACGTGCATGTGTTTTCTATGAAGAACAAGGTATGGGTATGGTTCTTCACTCTGTGTTGAGTTCGAGATCGCTGAGGTTCAGTGCATTTGGGGAGTTTGAATGGGCATGTTGTAGGCTACAGCACACTCACGGCTAACCTTAGAGCTAACACACTGCACTTTCTGTTGTCGCATCTTCATCATGACTGTTAGCGGATCATCGAAGCTCGACCTGAACGATCACTTTATACCGTTTGTCTTGCTTTTAACGATTATTTCCTTATAGTTCGATAGGATTTAGAGTGTTAAGTAGATACTGTGTGCTGCTCAGAGTGCAACTATACTAAGAGATTTATTTGGTGAATATAATTTATTGGGATTATACATGATCATTTCTTATTACAGGACATCAAAGCACATTAGTTCAATACCTGTCTGTACAAAGCTGTTAGTGCGGTGACATAAATGGCGCACTTAAAAACCACTGTACTCTGGGCGGATCGTCTGCCCTATTACAGCCAATCACCCTCCACTCTTTACAAACTCTACATGCTGGGCTGGCTGCTACTCCAGCCCACAAGGCTGACTTTATTTTTGTAAGTGACCTGGTGTGTAAATGTACATCTGTTTTTATTTCTTCTTTCTTTATTTCTTTCCCTGTCTTTCTTTTTTTTTCGACCGTGTGTGATGTCACCGACTGATCTTGATCACTTTTACGTTTTTCTGTCCCTCTCTTCAGAATATTCTCGCACACCAAGTTCCTTTCTGTCGCTTCTGTTTTCTACGTCTTATTTTGTACACTGTCCCATCTGTTGCATGAGGAGAGGATGGCATCGATGAACTGCATGTAGTAGGGTATGTCTATCAAGAACTGTTGGTATGTACCGCTAATTTTACATACATATATGCAACGAGTTTGTCTACACTATACAGTTTGTGTTTGTTGTATAACACATATACAACATGTTGATTAAACTATTTATATAAAGGGTGTACTGTACTGTAATGTCAGTCACATACTTAATGCAATATAGTGTGCAGTATATTATTGCACCTTTCATTTCGGATGGGACAAAGTAAACAGGGGGGGGGGGGGGTTGGCTAGTTTAAGCATGAAAAAGGCCAAAGTAGAATTTACATTAAATTTTCTTTGTGACTTCTTATTGGTCCTCTTTTCGAGTGGTGACTGAGCTCTTGTGTCAATGCAGCTCTCATCCCCTGACGCCACCTTTTTTGAAATGACATGGACGTCCAGCATGCCACAACTGAACTATGTATGCCCTCTCTTTGTTTCCTCCACCTAGAAATTGAACCTTGTCACTAGTATGAGTTTGAGTGAGATTTGTCTGTCTTGGACCGTAGCTTCAGTACCGCGTGAGTTATCATGGTAAATTGTTTGGTTTGATTTCCCCCCGTTGGAGAAGAATAGGCACTTTTAAAAATGATTTATTTTCAAAATGAAATATATATATATATACCATTGCAAGTATGCCCATTGGAGTTATGTCATGTTATAACAAATTTGTAACCATGTATGATTAAGGTCTTCGCATTGTTTTCCATGCAAAATGTTGTGTCATGCGGCACATTTAATGTTTTATTATTAAAAAAAAGAAATAAAAACCTCAAACAGTAACCTCTGTCTCCACCTCGTGTGTGACTTTCTTTACAGGTTTTGAACAACCAGCATTAAAAAACAAACCTACATTAACCCCTGCAGCATCTCTTCAGACAGTATAAAAGAAGCAGACGTAGCCGCCTTGTTGTCCTGTTTGTTTGTGAGCTTTAAGTGCCCTTATTATTGTCAAGGCAAATTTTATACTTTCAAATTGTAAAACCTCTGTAGTAGCTTTGCATGATATACAACCCCCCCCCCCAAAAAAAAACAAAAAAAACCCTAATCTTTCTAATCTTGCTTAGATGACCAATTTCAGGTACTGTCTCTTTAGGGCCCCGCTTACTTCAAGCTCACTTTGTTCTCCAAAAACCCTGGGGCGTGTCGTTGTTCCCCTGTACCTCGGTTACATGACCATATAAGGAGTTACGTGACACTGCGGTGTCACAAAATCTCCATGGTTTAAAAAATTGTCTCAAACCTGAAGTTTAGAGCAACCTGCACACTGAGCTCTGAAGACTGAGGGATTACTCGGACATTCTTGGAGTGATTCAAAACATTTTGTATTAATATCCAACATTTTTACAATCAAAGTATGTCTGAAATATTGGAACGCCGTAATATCCCTTTAAGTTGACAGTTTGGCCTTTGCCAAGTTTTTTTTTAAATGACCATATTGGATGGGAGGATGGATACACCTTATTTCATTCTAACCTTGTTGACTGTGGAAGGGACTTGTCAATCCCAAGTGTCCCCGCCCAAAACCATCCCCTGCTTTATTGACAACTTTACTCTAAATGTGACCATATTAAACAAAACCAGCACCATGTTGAACAAGACTTTAAACTAACATTTGATGTCATACACATCTTAGGGAAATGCTTACAGAGCTAATGAATCAACCTGGAAGTCAGGTCAATTTTCCAATTCTTCATACAATTTGACTTCTTTTTGCGATTATTGGAGTTGCCCCCTACAGGCCATCAGACAGAATGCAGCTGTTGGCACTTCAGTACTGGCTTTGCTTTTGAACCAAGCGGCTACGTCCACTTCTAATGTACAGTCAACAAGTATCCCTCATATTCTAAAGACAACCTTAATATTTATTCTTCTTTCCATCATTTGCATTTGTACTTGCATCATTTTATGTGAATTCATCTTCAAAGCTTTTCTACATTATATAACAATTAAACATAACACTGTTTGTGAACATGGTAATATTTTTGTTTCTTTTATACCTACAACACCCAGTTTTACAGTTTTAAAAGGAAAACTTGTAACCAGTACAATAAAAGAATGAATGCTGTTTATCATATGCAGAATTTTCCTCTCCGTTTAGTCTTCTTCCTAACTTGGTTTCCAACCGGTCTGGTGGTGACCATCCGACTGTCTCTGGTCGCTCCGGGTAGCCCAGTCCTCTTGTCTCTAAACTCAAGTGTCCTCTTCTCGTCAGTACTCTGCTCCCACCCAGATCTCGCAGGCGTTCCCTGTCCAGCCGTCCCAGCACTCACAGCTGCCACAGTTGCACAGCCCGTTCCCTGCGAGGAAGATGTGAGAAGAAAAGCTGTGAATTAAAAGCTGTGCCATCATGCCTGACCTTTAACAAGGTTCCTCTTTTCACACCCTGGTTCCCTGGGTGCAGCTCTCTGCTGGGCGGAGGGTTGGGTGATTGTTGAGGCTGCGGGCTGCACTTCTTGTGACAGTCTCTGGTTTTCCACTCCCTCTGCCAGCACAGCAGAGGAGATACCATGTTTGCAATTAAGACTTTCTATTTTAGAAATCTCAGTTATCCTTTAATTCAGACTAGTGTTACGTGATAGTTTTTCTAAATTCATCTCATCACATTTCTTGTAACCTTTTTTCTAAACTTCCCCAGCACTGAAGATGCATTTCCTAAAACAGCTCATACAAGTAAAAACATTATATTATACTAAAGTTAACCGTCTATCTTTACTGAAGCATATCAATCCCCCAAAAAACATCAGTGATCACAAAACACTGGTCGGCTACATGTGGTATTCTACAGTACAAAAATGAAATGAGTTCTTGGAATTATGGGAAATTCAAGCTCCTGTCAGCTGAGTTCCTTTCTGAGCCACACTTGACAAGTAATCAATTTGTCTTGCAGACTCTGCTGCCACTCAATAACTTTAGACTGTGGTTTTGATGAATGAAAGTTCGACTGACCTTTCCAGAAAAAAGCTTACATCAGCCCTTTGACTATTTCAAGGAAAAATATTGGTGTCAGAACTCCTGGGTAGGAGTTCAAGGTGGAGAGCACCACTTTAAAAAACCTTGTTGGCTCTTTCAGGATGCACGTACAAACAACCTGGTTTAGGTATAAAGAAAAACCATGAGTGTGTAAGTGTCCCATTCTGTGTTATAATCCAGTAGTCTCGAGCTCTCCCCGAGCTCCCCGAGCTGTCAGACATGAGGATGCAGAGGTGAGGACTCCTCCTCCTGCTGGCCTCCGGTCACACAGCTAAAAAAGACATGTTCAACTGCAAATGTGTTGGTGAAAAGGAAGGGAAGTGGAAAAGCAGAAGATTGTTGATTATGTGAGAGAGGAACAATAAAAGTGAGGAAAGAGAGGATGTTTTTTTAAAAAGGACTGGAGCTGCTCATAGAAATGGCTGATCTGTTTGTTGATCTGCTGAATCCAGCTTTCAGACTACACAGACCTTCCTCTGATTAAAGGATAAAGCCGGCCTTTCACTTTATTCTTCTTAATGACAATAAATCCCCCCAAAAGACCTAAACCAACAATGCCTCAGTCTGTCACTCAAAACTCTCCAGGTTTCCTCCTGCTCTTCACTACAGGGAGTAAAGAGAGCATTTGTAGGGGACTATTTTTTTTTACTTAACATTCAATTTAATGAAATGTAAGCTGAGGTTTAGAATATAAACACACACTCTCAAGTACTGTACTCAAGTACAATTATCACGACTTTGTCCTTTAGTTGAGTATTTAACTTATATGCTCCTTTATAGTTATTTTTCCACTTTATCTAAAGATGAAAATATTGTACCCTTTCCTGTACTTCATGTATTTGACAAACAGCTTTTTGTTGTTGTAGTATTTCCACTAAAGTTTCTGTTGGTATTGGCTGTATGCAGGAGAACAGACCAGTAGGGATAGAATAAAATAGAAAGCCTTCATTGTCATGATACAACTTTACAACAAAAATAACAAATGCTTCACCTTAAAGTGTACCAACATTCAGATATCCCCAGCAACATTCATGCTGCATTTTTTGTTTAGCAAAAGGGACAGAACACAATCTGCTGTAATGCAATCCAACAGCCCATCAGTGGTCATCTTACAACAATTACACCCTAATTAATGTCTGAAAATAGATATCTGCAAACAAATGCAGCTTATGAATACCCTCTTAGATGTGGTTTATCAACTGCAACCCTTATCTCGCTTTTCAAGTTCCTAGTCGGACAGATAAGGAAGTCCTGGCTGAGAGTCCCCAATCACTAACAGCATGCTTCACTGATAGCCCCAAGAAGGTTTAATGATGTCAATTAGACAATAGCCAATGGGCTCCAAGATTGGTGTTTTTGGTAACTCATAAAACTAATGTTTAACTAATCATCAATCGCCAACATTATACCCTGATTAAAACTTTCTATCCAATATGATCTCCTTCTAACATCCCTCTAAAGACTCTTTCTGTCGGGTGGTGAGAGCTAGCATGGAGGGGGTTGGCTTTGGGATGCTGGAGCTCACTGTCCAGCCTTTCCGAGGTGTTGTGGAACTAAGTTGACAAAACAACAGTGAAGGGAGGTTCCCATTTGACAACCCCGGTGATGTCCTGGCTCTTGCTGCCCATTGGACTTCAAACTTGGGTTAGGGGGGCCTGATAACAGCCATGTGGAAGGGTAGGTAGTAGTAAAGTCACTTCCTGGCTTGCTCACATAAACAGAGCATGGGTCTGTTGATGGAGGCAATACAGTTGAGGCTGCGGGATCAACTAAGGGGAAGGACATCTGGAGGGGATAGGGGCATAATTGGGATGAGGGGTTTCTTCACTGAGTGCTTATCCTTTGATTAGATTTTGGGTTTAATATCAAACAGGGTTAAGAACTGTTGAGTCATTTTTTAGAACACCCATCCATCCTTCCATCCATCCATCCATCCATCCATTCTTTTTCTCCCCCTTTATTAAGGGTCGATTTGCAGTGGTATCAGGCTTAACAAGTTGACCCAGACGTCCCTCCCTCCAGCAAGGTTTCCCAGCTCCTCCTGGGGGGACAATGTGTCCCAGGCCAGATGGGATATTTAATATCTCCAGCAGGCTCAGGGTCTAGCCTTGGGTTTCCTCCCAGTAGGACGTTCCTGGCAAACCTCCAAAAGAGAGGTGTCCAGGAGGCATCCTAGTCTGTGGTCCAAACCGAACATGTGATTCATTCCACTGATGAAGAAAGTTCTGAATCTGTAATTGGTATTAATGGAATCGATGGTCGTTCACAATAGATACAAATGGTGTAAAAGGAAAAAAATACTAAATGTTTTTAAACAGGAAGATGGAGCTAGCTACCATTCCTGTGGTTGTATCACATGTTTCCTTGCCCTTATTGGTTGTAACTCCCCTGTAATGTCCCTTGGAAATCGACAATAGACTGTAAAGTTAAAACATGTGGCCACATTATACAATCATACCAAACAAGAGACTGAAGAGCATACAAAGTTATTTCTCATTTAACCTTTCAAGAGAGTGATACATTAAATGCCTCAGACAAACACGATTCAGTGTTTTGCATAGTGACAAACACTGTAATTTCACTCTTTACACCTTTGCCTGTAATGCAAACCATTTTTACTGAAGTGGTTGCTGAAGTCTTAGCGTCTCATTGAGAGAGCATGAAATTAACCAGCAAGCATCCCTAATGTGCTGAATTTTTCCACATCAGCCATCAGGTGTAAAGAGAATCTACATATTTGAGGGCTCCATGAAATCTCCAGATACAGAGGAATCCATTGGCATTCAAAGGCATTGACTGCTTTCATATTCCAGAAGTCCCTTTAGATAGACAACATCATTACATTTTAATTATTCTGATATATATGGTTATTTTAAGATGTACACCCTCCAGTTTGTTATATGGTAATGTGGAATATGAAGCAGACATTGCCATAGCACCACCCAGAAGTCCCTTAAAAAATACAACATCTGCACATTTTAAGTATGGTTATTTTAAGATATATACCCTCCAGTTTCTTATATGGTTATATGGAATATGACGCCACCACACACACCACCACACACACCCTTTTTAAAGTAGCATTTTTCTGCATCTGGAGCCACTGAAGCTCATTACATGACATTAAGGCTGACATTTGGAGTCATGGAGTCATGATGAGAACCACTTTTGAACAGCTGTCCAGATTTTGACATGCCCCAGGGCAAAAATAATTATAAACATGTACTGAGATTTCCATTATCAGTGTGGAGAGGACGGCTCCTGTGGATAAGCTGCTATAGTGAGAAAAGTGTGTGTGTGTGTGTGTGTGTCTCTGTCTCCTCTCAATTCTTTTTTTTCTCTGTTCTCTGACTCATAACCAAAGCTGTTCACATCAGCGGGATGGGTACAAAATCTACAGATAGAAATATCTGTGAGGAACTGTGTCTTCACGGGTTCACTCAGTTCAGCGTAACCCAAACCGAGTCCTGGAGCTGAATTGAAACATCTCCAAATACTAGAATACTCATTTTTTTAGTCAGGTTGTGAAACGTCTTATCACTCTGTCACAGTCTCGAGTCTGTTTGTCAACATGTCTAACACCTGAGTGTGTCTGTAGTTTGTCAAAAAAACAAAGTCAGAAAAAAATATTTGAATATTGACACCAATGACTAATGCCAGAATAATTTACTTGAAAATAGTGATTGAGATGTATCTACATTCAGATAAAAAGAGCAAATCTACCAGGCAGTTATCATTTAATGTACAGCCGTTAGTTCTGACCAAGTAATTTGATTGGACAAGAGGCATTCAATTAGTGGCAATATAATATTTTTAACTCAACCTGGAGGAGACAGACTTTGTCAAATATGTAATTGGACAACATTTCTGTTTCTTAAAGTTTCCTTGAAGAACCGTTTTTTTTCTACCTATGTGGTGTTGATCCCTGAACATCTGATCTCCATAATTTCAAAACTTTGACCCATGTGTTCCAGTGTATTTAAATGTCATTATAACATGAGGGCTGGACATTTTATTACAGTCGCTGGATCATACTAGTTGATTTTTTTTTTTTTTTTACAGAAATCAGACAGTTTGTGGCTGTGTGTGTGTCCGTGTCCTACCTGTACAGATGAGTCCATCGTGTTTGTCACACTCTCGGTCGTCACACTCGCAGAACTCTCCGGACACCCACCCCTCTTGGGCGGAGCAGATGCATTGTCCACAGTGACAGGATCCTGCAAACACACACACAAACACACACACACACACACAAACACACCTCTGTTATTTAACATCTCATTTTCCTCACCTAAGCTGAGTAACATTTTGACAGTGTATATTTCTATTTTCTTCTAACACCATCCCCTTGCTTATGGTGGTTTTCGATCAATGCTGTAAGTATGATTTTCTGTAAATTCTTTATTTTACACAGAGGATTTATAGTGTTGGGCAGAGAGGATATGAGATGTTCCCGGGGGAAACAGCTTCTAATATACTATTTCCACCAGGAAGCAAAACCACCCACACTTAGATCTCTCTCTCTCTCTCGTCCCTTACGCTGACTGTGTGTCTATGAAGGGCAGCAGCAGGATAATAACGTATTAAGGAATGGTAGAGGGAAACAAATCTTCTGCTGTCTGCTTCCCTTTTTTTCCCCAAAGCCCCCCCTCCCCCCCCACCGACAATCTATGATTTTTCTATCAACTTCCACTTCCACGAGTTACAATATAAGAGATTCTGAGGATCGGGAGAGAAAGTGAACCAGACGTGAGGTAGGTGAGGTGAGGGGTGGAGCTGAGATGAAGATTGTCCTCGTGTCTGAGAGAAGCCGAGCGTGGAGAATGAACATGCTCATCTTCATTTTCACACCGGGCTCATCTCGGCAGGGGCCCTGACCCGTTCAGTCGCTTCATTCCCGTGGATTTAACACCACACCAAAGATAAGGGAATCCTACCCTACATTGTCGTTCGTTACCTAATGATGCATCCATCCACAGTGGTGACAATGCAGAGAGCCTCATTATATGTAAACCTATGCAATGCAAGTCACAGGATGCCAAATATGGATGCAACTAATTATATTTTTAGTTTTGTCCATTAACTGATTTGTTGTTTTGTCAATGAATTGAAAACGAGAAAGAGAGAAAAGAGCCCCAATAGTAAGGCTTTAAGACTGTTTGTCAGTCCTAAATCAAAGAATGTTAAATTAAGATTTATACAAAATAAAGAAGCGGGAAAATTATCATATTCAAGAAGATTGGATTGATTGGATTCATTCTTTATCCAGCCACTAATCTGTTCATCTAGAAATCCTCTCAGCTCTACAGGAGGTAATCATATCTTTTATTGGATCACTTCATTATCTGTTCTTTGATTTTCATAATGGATATTTTGCAGCTAAAAGTGTGTTGAAAAGCAGTTTATAAATCATAATCTGGATAAAAACTTACAAGAAAAAGACAGCCAAAAGTGAATCTTTCTCAAATGATAAAAGAAGGTGTTAACCAGTAAACTAAACCGGAGTAAAAATCATCTCGATTCTGAGCCAAAAATGATCTAGAGACCGGTCTTGAGATGAAGTCCGGTGATGGACTTCTTTTGTATTTCTTACTACAGAATGTTTTGGAATTCTTATTCCACCTCTTCCAAAAGTGACCTTTCTGTAAACTTTCACTCAGCATTATTTAAAAAGACAGCTGGTCACCTTTCCCGCTGCACACGACTCCGTCAGATGTCTCACAGAGCTCCTTGCTCTGGGCGTCGCTCATGTCACAGGACCTGGGGAACTGGCACAGCTTCCCGAACCAGCCCTCCTGGCAGATGCAGCGTCCGCATGAACAGAAACCGTGACCTGGCGATGGAGGGCAGAGGGGCCTTTATTTAAAAGGAGACAGAATATGATGCACGGCCATGAGAAAAGAAGTAGCAAAAAAAAAAAAAGGGGGGGGAAATAAATAATTAAAGCATTCTTAGGCAGAGCGAAAGTCAGGAGGATTGCCGCTTACGAGGGAAAAAGAAAGCAATAAAAAATATAAGCAGAGAAAGTTGACAGTGCAGACATTGAACCTTGACAGTAATAGGCAGCACGAGCAGACAGTGCCACAGGAAGACGGCAGAGACACAGCAGGCTTATTGTATTTCCCCTGGGGACATGAAAGGAACTGTCATCACTGGTCTTGTCCCATCCGTAATAAATTTGCAGCGTTTCATGGAGAAAAAAAAAACCCAACATAAAGCAAAAGCAGAGGAAAACGTGCGCACACACACACACACACACACACCAACACTCAGGAAAGAAACCAGAGATGTTTAATTGTTGGAAAAAGGAAGTGGGGCTCTTGGATACCAGACAGCATCACTGTGGTTTTTAACAAGCAAACCCACACACACACACACACACTCATTCACTGATGTCCTTCATCTCCAACAGAACCCGTATATTACTCGCAGGTTGCTTACTTCAAAACAAATCACATCATGTAGAGGCAGTTACACCGCTGATTGTTTCCTTTATCTTCACATGTTAACAGACGCCAGTGTGGAGCACTGGTAATGAGTGTTTCTGTCCACACTATGCTACTGGAAACTCTTTGATGCAGGGCTCCATCCTTCAGTCAAAGGGTGGTTTGATTGAATTCTGACTACTGGCTTCACTACTTCTACTACCGTACTTCTTTAATCCTTCTTCTCTCTCCATCTCTATCACCTCACCTTGCGTCCTTACATTTTTCAATTAGAAGTATAGGTGGAGGATGCTGTATCAAGGACGATGTGTGTGTGTGGTTCGGTTTCTGTGGCAGGTTATAAATGAGAGTTAGCTAGCTTCTGTCTCAGGCTGGAGCGGAGTGGCAGCTATGGCGGGCCATGCACGGCTGCCTCAATCAGCTTGGCCTGCGAGAGCGGTTAATTGCTTTGGAGGAACAGCAACCTCGCCCTCATTCAATTAGCCTGCACCTGTCTTTCAGAGAGCGCGCGTTGTGCTATTGCATTTACAGAGGGCTCTGTGAAGGGTGGATAGTGGAAGTGAATCTGGTATTTAACCCCGCAAAGATGTGTACTGTATGCTGAGAAGGTCTGTGAGAGGTGAAGAGTTCACTGCCACAGAGCGAGAGAGGGAGAGAGAGAGGGAGGGTGGAGCAGGGTGAGTCATAAGGGGGAGGAAAAAAATCTGTTAAGGGAGGGGGAAGATCTGAGCGTGCATCTATACACATACTGTTGCTGCACTGCAAATATTTCTTTAAAAATTTTTTATGCATCCTGTATTATTCTTACTTCTAGAAAAAGTTTGACCTTTTTTCCAATATGATCAACCCCTTTCAAGATTTTAGTGCCAACTATAATAAAAACAAAGCAGATGTCGGACAAGACTAAAGAAAAATAAATTGTATGTATGCAATATATTAAAAAAACTTGAAAAGAAGCTGACAACATAATGAAGAACAGGTAGAACAGGAAGTCCTCGTGTATGGACGAAAAGAATATCCCTCTCCCAGTCCAGCACCTTAATAACTATATATTCACATTTTAAGACAACAAAATGCTTTCAGCAACTGATTAGGCATCTTCCATTTAACATCTTTTCACTGAAATACTGACTGTGAATAGAGTGGAAGTTATTTTATTGTTTTCAAAGTGAAGCAGTGGAAGTTCATTAACTCTGAATTCTTTCTAATAGCCAGAAGGCAGCAATAAAGAAGTTGGAAAAAAGGGTTTAACTGATTGTATGTTAGATGCGTCATCCGTTGGTTTCTGGAGAGGCGTTATGAAGACCAACAATGGTGGTGGCCATATTTGAAATGTTGACTCTTTCTAACTTTCAGTCATCCCAGGAGCAGGCAAAGAGGTGAAGCTGAGGACATTATTATTATCAACCAGATTGGTCCCATTGAGATTAAGAACTTCTCCTCCGAGGGAGACCTGGCCAATACGGTCAGCAGCAAAAAACACAAAGTTACAGACAGAGACACAAAGGGAAACAGAGTTCAATTCCCAAACATTAAAACTATTTACTGTATATGTCGCATCTGGGATTCTGTAGTTCAAGCAGTCAAGCTCAAAACATAGACATCTGTTTCTAAGTCTTTCATTTCTCAAAAATGTAAGGACACCAGCTCCTTGAGTTTCAAGTCATTCTGCAACAATTTCCAGGCTGAGGGTGCAGAATACCCAAAAGCCCCTTTCCAATTTCTGTCCAAGCATTTTGGACCTCAGGCTGTATGCATGTTTATTTCTGCTGTAAAAAAAAATGGCATTTTCCTATGAGCTCTAGTGGAGATTCCTTGGCTTTTGCAGCCAGTCCTCAACTTCCTCAAGTGTCCAATTCAGGCTGGCAAGTTGACACTTGAGGAACTGCAGTTGATTTTTTTTTTGACTTAAGCATTTTTTGAACACCAGAAAGTGCTGCTTGGTTAGACGTTGAGAAAGTGAATCTTGGACCAGGATTTTTCTTCAACACAGAATGAAGTTCAGTTTGTAAATCTCATCTCATATGAAGTAAAATAAAAGATAAAGTCTGGTAACTATAAGGGGCGTGGCTATACCTTGTGATTGACTAGTTGTAAAAGCACCTTTGTTTGTATAGAAAGACAGAAAAAGCTTCACATTCTTTTAATGACCATTTCTGCTACTGATTCCAATTCTCACAATTAACATATTAAGTATCAGCATCTCTCCATTAATTCCATATCATCCGAATGCACTCCCATTGCATGAAAAATGAGCTTTAATTACAGCTTGAAGAGTGGATATGTTGCTGCTCTCCCCCTTTTCTTTTGAGTAAAGTCATATAAGTCAGGTGTGGATTGAGCTCACTGACTGTCTGTTGGTTCAAATGGTGTGCATGCATCCTGTGTTTTTTGTCAGTTCTCCATCAGGAGGACCAACGTGGCTAACAGCCCCACACCCTGGATTGGGGCAGTTTAAGAGCCCCATCACCATATTGCTCAGTTCTGTTTGACCACCACTTTTTCTCTCTGAGTACACAGACTTAATTGTATATTTGTGTGTGAGCGTGTTTGTTTGAGTGTGTCTGTGCACAGACAGAGATTCCCTGGACGCCCTCATGAAGGATTGTCTCTGGACAGCCAAGCACACAATGAGCCCCAGTAATCCATTCACATAAATACTGCATCCCCCTTTAAAGCAGAAATGTACCCTATAAGATGCTGCAATGCACCACTGATGCAAAATGGAACAGACGGACCTAAAACAACATTAGGAAGCCATATTCAAAAGGAATGCACTTACAATGACCTGCATATCAGCTGGGTCAAAGGAATGGACAGATATGGCGTCAATTTATTAAATAACACAAAAAGTTTGAGCAACAAGTGTCTGAGTGAAACGAAAAAATAAAACAAGTTACTTCCTGGTTTGATCCACCCCAAGGGGGGAAAGCTACATGAAGTTTGAGAGATATTTTGGAAATGTGTGTTATGTTTTACTCTGTGCTTTTGTTGTTTTATCACTTTTGCAACATGTCAAGTGTAATAAAACAGAGGAGTGGATTTAAGAACTGAATGTGCATCCAGTCGACTCAGTACTAGTTTTCATTAATGCTCAAAATAAACAGGGGAAGCCATAAGCAATACTGAAACAAAAAAAAATGTAACAGGTGTGGTATAATATAGAGCCTTATTTTGGCAACAATAGCCTTAACAATGAGAATTGTGTTCGCCTCATTTTCCATCTCTCATCCTCCTGCAGCTGCAAACTGAAATATCAATTCCAATTCAGCCTCTAACGTTTTCAGTGCAATCTATCCATTACACCGGTTTATGCCTAAATGGCTCCAATTAAGGGCACGGACTTCTCAAGACCTCAAACAGAAGCTTCAAAGGCTCGGAGCAATTTCTCTCGAATTCAGTTGAAGGGTTTCAGAGGGTTGTGCCTGTGGATATCAAAGAGAGAGAGCAGATAGGATCACACTGTATTGATCTCCAGATTCAGCGTCGGCTCCTGGCATCATCTCAAAGTGGGTGAGTGTATGTGTGCACACATGCTGTGCTGAATGTGTGCAGTTTCCTGTGCAATAATTAGGAGATAGTACTGGTTGAGTTTTTGTCCTCAAGTGGAGAAGTGAAGTGGGAGGAGTTACAGGAGCATTTTCTCGATCCTGATTTTTTTTAATTCACTAATCTCCGTTTTTCAAATTATAAAATGAATATTATAATAAAGGTTGCTATGACAGCAACTAGACTACTGAATTAATGAATTCCTGCTTTTTCTGCCACAGTTAGACTTAATGATGCCATGGCACCCATGATCCTCATTAGAAACAGCTGTGGAAAGGGAGACATTAGGGCCATAGCAAATTCAAAAAGTCTTTGCCGTTGCAATCAAGCAGAACATAGCATACCACTAAATGTCACTAAATGTCACTGAAGTTTAGTTCAATTAAAACAGAATATGATTGTAATATTTAGCATTGATAATGATGGTTGGTAACATTTAGTCAACCTCTGTTATTTGATGTTTCTCAATTAAATGCTTCTTGCCAATTGTAGATCATTTCTCCTTTTAAATATGTATACACTCAATCTTGTTTAAGTTTGGAAAATGTAGATTACACTGGGCTTACAGCAGAACATTTTCATATTCCAGACCCAGAACTTGCAATTTATTTTCCAAAAAACAATATATATATATATATATATATATATATACTTTTTCTTATCTGTTCTTGCCACTTTGAACCTGCTGAATGACACGTCCTCATTTATAGGTGCACGTTTGTGAGATGTACTCATTTGAAAATTACACTTCTGCTGTCTGCAACTCAGACATCAGAAGACAATTATTTAACTCAGCAAATGTAGTCCAGTAGGTCCATTGGGGATTTTTTTTTTAAGAGAGATATCTGCGCCACGACATATGCCACTCATATGCGGCATATGCCACGGCACATGAGTGGACTAGAACGGCATATGCCACACATATTGGGCATGTGCCAGTCAGATTGGCAAACAGTCCAGATGATTGACCTCTTCTAGCCTTTCACTCTTCATGCTCTTCATGCACCTTGGTACCTCTGCTTCTTTCAGACCTTTCATGAATTCCTGTTAGTTTGTTAGTATAAACTGCAAGTGCGTCTTCATATATGTGTGTGTTCTCACCTCCGCAGACCTCTCCACTGATGTCCTCACACTGCCGGTCGTCACACTCACAGATTTTGCCGTGAACTCGGTTGTCCCCCGGTGGGTGGCAGGTACACTGTCCACACTGACACTGACCTACACAAACAGATTTTATTTTATTTTTTTCCATGTGAGCAGTGGCTTGTTTTAAAGAGCTTTTTCAGTACAACAATCATTACTCTGCTGAAGTGTGTCAGGTACCGTTCACATTTTGATTCAGTCAGTAATTCAGTCATTTCTATACAATAGATGTGACGTAAACTCGACTCAGTCTGCCTGACAACACTCCCTCCAGCCACATGGGGGGAAATCTTATATGTAAATCACAAACTCTAATAAACACTCACATGGGGGAAACACACTTACACACACCTCGAGATGTTGCGCTCCCACTTCAATCAGCGAGCTGCCAGTGAAGGAGGCCACAGGGGAACTCACTGAGTGAACACGCTGGCTAATGGTGGAACTCATTAGAAAAACATCATCTATTCTGAACTATCATTGGAGGTGTGCAGCATCTCTGATCGTTGATCATTTCAGCAGGATGCTCAGAGTTATGTTAATCATAAGCGGAGCTGAGGCCAAAAAAAAACATGTTGAGTGAATTAGATGTAGAAATGTCTTCTTAATTGCAATTCAGAGTCACTTTATTGTTGATTCTAAGCACATACTACTTTATTTGCATCAGATGTTCTTATGATAACACATACAACTGCACAGATGACAGATTTTCTTTGCTCCATTATCAGAGCAGATGAATTATTAATTTCTGTCAGGACCTAAAGACAATTTCAACCAAAATCTTCAAAAGTGTATCCGGAGAAAAATAACAACCCTGCCTTTAAGCAAAAATAAGAAAGAAAGAAAATAAGAGCTAACCACAGGCAGTGTAAAAAAAAAATGGATGAAACCGCAGCCCCCTGGAAGTGAAGCCAAAACAAGTTTTCGTCCCTCTGCTGTCTCACTGCAGTGTAGGTCATAAACCCTGACTCCTCGTGTTTACAGACGGGACATCAAAAATTCATCAATTCAAAATTATAATACTCTAATCCTATCAAAACAAATATTTTTTCTTAAACCGAGTTCCTGTTGAGATAATAATTATCACGCTGATTTATGTTCAAGTGTTAATTTTTCAGAGAAGTCTAGTTTCAGTTTGTCACTTGGTGTGAAAAAAGAGCACGTTTACGCCATGATTGACAGCTCTGATGATGTCACCAGTGCAAATGGAATCCCGTTGTCAATATTTGTGAATAGAGATAAAAATTAACACTACAAAATTGAAGGCGTTGTCATTGAATGCGGTTTAGCCTTGTGTGCTCTTTGTTGTTATTGTTTAAAAACTTTCCTATCCAGTGACACTGCACACACCCTGAAGGGCTGCAAACAGGTGAGCTGCACGCCATGAAAAATAATTGCACAAAGGGAATTTCCCAGCTCAGTGAAGACAGATGGTTAAAATGCAGCATACTGAGCGTCTCTCTCTCTCTCTCTTTAGTTTTTATAGAGCTGGGTATCTCCTTTTTGCACAATCATTATTCACTCTGAGCGCTTCCCCTGTTTGTAGGCCTGTAGGGCACATTTATTTGTTTAGTGCCACTAAATAACACCTAAAACATATCCATAATATGTGTGCACCTGCCTTTATCTTTTTATGACTCATGGAGTGGAATTAGAAGCAATAAATAGTGCCGGATGTGAATTTACAAGACAGCGTCATCTAATGTGCTGCTCATGTCACGTCACTGTCAGTTTTATGACCACACACACACACACACACACACACACACACACACACACACACTTTCTCCCTCTAGTAACCTCTCTATCTGCTACACGTACAGCATACCACCATCTGCTCTGGGGACTCAGTTACCCTAGCAACTGGTGATGTCATAACACCGTGCCTTATCGATTATCGCTCTGGTCGTCAAGCCGTCTACACCAGTGAGTGCATCTGTGTTGGTGTGTGTTGAAGTTCAATTTGTCACCCTGTCTGAGGTGAACAACACCTTAATGACATGATTTGCAACATTAGACTGAGACATACTGGATCTATTTTGATAAAGCCGCAGACAAATCTGTGTATAAAAACAGGGGGCGGGTGAAGGTCAAGCCCTTTTTTTGTATTATTATTGATGAGAATAAGTGCATGTTCACTCGTGTTTCATTCCAGTTTGAACTGGAAAAAGAGCCAAGGGAGCAAGAAGACATTGTTAAATAGATGAATAGTTAATCATTGAGGGCTAGGGTAAGCTTGAATAATGGTCAATCAAGTGAGCTTCTCTCATTCCTCTTAAAAGCAGCAGACAGTTTTCTTAAAGGGCCGGCGTCCAAGAAAGCTTTCCCAAGGGAAACCGCTCTATACCGGTGACTCCCAATGCCTCAAAGCAGTGCAGTGTAACTTCTTACATACAGAGACACTCTAATATGATGGAAAGCTTCAAAAATCAACCAAATAAAACATATTATAAAATTTCACCATTGATAACCCAATTACAATCAAACGCCCAGGAAGACTCTGTCCCATTTGTCACACTTTGACAAAGGTCCTCTGAGCCCAGTGGTAAAGCCACTTTCATGCCAAAATCAGTGCCAGCATTTGACTGATTTGGCCTATCTGCAAAAATATAACCACAGATGTGACACTCTTCTCACCAAAGAGCTGTGAAACTAGAACACAGGCAAAGTGAATAAAACGGAACTTGCATTGCAACCTGTTATCCTTCTGCTGCATAAAAAACAAATTCATTGCCTCAATTAAAAACAAAAAATTAAAAAGTTTGCTTTTTTGTTTTTACCTGATTTCATTGTTAATTGTATGACAGCTGGAATTTGTTCACCACTACACCAAATTGAATGTGTCCAGTCTTTTGACAGCTCCCTTCATGCTTAGGTGTGAATGGAAGCATTCCATTATCACCCAATAGTGGGATACTTATCAAACAGGTGTTTAGTCAGTTTCAGGTTGTGTTTAGTTGTATAATAGTTATTCAATACAGAAAATAAAAAGGACACTATTTCCTGAACAAGTAGCAGCCATTACTCCATTTAGATATCAGGGTTAATGTCATCTGTAACACACATTGCATTAGAGCAGGTTCACATCCTAAAATGATGTAAATAATCCCAGAGACTCTAACAAACTGTTGGTGAACTACACTCCACAAATGTAATCGTCAAAAACATTCACTAAGGTACTAGTTAAGTTGACTCAGTCTAAAACAGTAATGTCATCAGGGTTATCTCTGCTCGGGTTGTGAGAGTGCTTTTCCCCCCCCCCAAGAGAAAGCATGTGGGTGTGTGAGTTCACAAGAGGGTCAGTGACCAATACATTATTCAGTGGAGTTGCATTGTGGGACGTGTAGTGAAACAAACAAAAAATACAATCATCTAATTCCATCAGTTACAGCTATCCTATCTACTGAGCCAAACGTATGCCAAACCTTATCTTGGAATTTGTCATTCAAAGTCTCTCCCATCCTGTGAAATGTGCACTATATTCAGAGGCTGATCCTAGAAATTGGGGGTGAATTAATTAAACTTGATTGCAGAAAAACAGCAAACCCCTTCAATCTTACTATAATAGTTTTAGTGCATTTAAACGTAGTGTAAGTACAGAGTGAGTTTGAAAAGCATGTTGCAGTTTAGTACCGCTCAACAGATTTGTATGGTTTCATATTCAAAAAGCTACACCCTATTTCGAGTTATTTTATCAACTCTTAAACACTTGTGTGCACCCTTTGTACTGCCTGACTCAGACAAATCATTATGCAAGCTAAGGACACTAGTTAATGCAAATTTAATGGGCCTTTAACCCACACCAAACAAGTCACGATTTTATCCCTCTACTGTTTAATTTTTAACTTTTTTTTTTTAATTAGTCCCTTTCAAGTTAATAGCAGCACAATAAATAACCCTGGCTATCCCTTTAATGTTAGGTATTGGATTACATTAATGTAAAAAAAAGGAGTGTGGATTTGTCATTAAATATTTAACATTGCTCACATAGTTAATGTCTACTACAGGCCACGCTGCAGAAAACAGAGATAGGAATCCCGAGAATCAGCAGAAAGATGTTGAAAGCAGGTGTTTCCTTGAGGAAATACCACGGTACAAAGAATGTGCTATCCACCAGCGACTTGCCTCCACCTCTCAGGAAGAAAAGCTTCGAAGCTGCTGTTTCAAATTTCAAGGCTTTTCCGCTCAAGCTGCCATCTGTACCAGCCGCATTCATCCATGCCTAAGTGATTTTCCTCGTCTGTCTCCTTCACTTTCTCTGCCTTTCTCTCTCTCTCTCCCACCCCCCAATCCTGTCTCCCTAAATTGTAGTTCTCATAGACCTTCGCACTGTCCCTTCTTCTTTTCATTCACATCCTTTTCAAGCTATGAAAGCGTCGCATCAAACCCTGTTACAATCAATTGTTTCCAGCCATTATGATCATCCAAACACTAAACCAACCGGGCATCCAGTGGAAGCAAGCCTTAAGTGAAAAAACAACACGTGTACCTAGACAGCATCCAAAACAATCAGGTATGAATGGACACACATTTACTTTCTTTTCTGTACCACAACAGAGGTGGAGGATAATAGTAGTAGTGAATTCATAGACTCTATAACAGAACTGAATCTAGAAGTCACTCGCTTGTAAACCCGACCATAAAATAAACATTTTTGAGCGTAGCCATCTTGTTTTCTTGGAGCCAAAGTGACCAGATATGAACAAAAGTGAGGATATACATTATTTTGTCTTTAGTTAAAAAGCTGCTGCATACCCTGCTTTTCTTTGATTTAAATCTAAAGAAGGGCATTGTTTACAAAATGAGCTTCACGCTGTATTAAAGAAGATCTAAAACTATCGATTGAGACCATAAACTCATTAAGAAAATGTTGATCCAGTTCATAAACCAAATGAGAAGTAGAGTCTTTTTCTCATCTGATTTCATACCATCTAATGTTTTTGCATCCAGACGAAGCACTTCTGCTTCAGACACACTTTTAAAATCGTATATACAGCCTATGATTTGAGATAGTTGTAATTATTGCAAATTGTTCATCACTTTTATTCACTGAGGTGTATGCAAAGAAAATGATCAATTCCACACTGTATTATGAGGTGTCAATTTACGTAAGCTGCCAATAGCTTCACTAAAATGGCTGGAAAAAGAATTCATTTCCAACTGAAATAATTCATAGATGATAGTAAGTGTATGTAGTAATTTTGTTGAAGCCATGGGAGAGAATATTAAGGTACTGATGAAAGAATTAAATCTTAATAATTCTTCAAGCACAAGTTAATCTATGTATCAGTATGTGAGGTGGGACGACGTGCCTTCTCAAATCTGCTGTTGTAGAATTGGTTTCGTCCAATCATGTCCATCAATGCAATATGTAACAATTAGTTGAGGTATTCAATGGCACAAGATTGGTTCCATTTACACATAATTTAGTAAATACAAAAAGTCATTTTGGGCCTTTACCATGGTAAACATTTGTAAAGAAGGCTTCTAAGGTATAGGTGTTGAGCCTCGTTGCCATGGCATTCCTGCCTCTTGTCGTTCTTTCCCATCCACATACCATTTTAATTGTTAATTACCGTGTTGTATTCAATCATATCCTATCAAATGGTATTGTATCATATGACTCTGTATCCTCTTGTATTGCATCCTGTAGTTTTGTATTATATGATATTGGAAAATGTCATATCATATTGTATTACAGCGTCTTGTTTTATATACTATCCTATCGTAGTATCGGAGGGTATTGTTAACCAATCGTACAATCTTATCGTTACACAACATATGGTATTGTATCATTGTATCATTTGGTATTGGATCACATGGTGTTGTACCCTGTTGTATCGTATGGTTTTGTATCATATCCTTTTGGATCTCATCGTAATGTATCATGTGGTTTTTTGATGTGTCTTATCATCATGGCTTTCCTAACTCTTGTCATCCCTGTCTTATCATAAACTAGAGTATCGTCTAATATTGTATCGTCGTATCTAGTCCAATTATCCAATGGTTTTGTATCACATCGTACCATGGTACTGTATAATGCAGTTGTGTGGTATATGGCTTTATATCGTATCTATCATATTGTATTGCATCGTAGTCATGTGTACTGTAAATATATCAAAGACCTACTCCTGTTTTTAGTAGCATTGCTTGCTTATGGTCATTTTGACTTGTTAAGGCGTTTGTAACCATAGTAGCAGCTCTAACATATGTGTTTAAGGTGACCCTATCTGATCAGAAGCTTTACTTCCATCGGTTTGAAGGATGCATTTGTCCATTAACATTACTTATAGTAGGCTACAGTCCACATACAGTCCACACTTTTCATTTTGAACAAAGCAGCGACTTAAATGCTGTGGATTCCCCGGAGACTTCCCCCACAGTCAAATGAAACAGGAAATCAATGCCTCACATTAACCCTTTGTAAATCCGCAGAGCCCAAAGACCGAGCAGGTTGTGCTTCCTCTTTTATCGCCCACTGCAGATTATATTATTAAGTCGAATCACTGTGAGACTGCCTGAATAAAGCAGGCTTTACTGTACCTTTTCTTATTGTCTTCTAATCCTTTAGTGCAAGACACTAAACAATGGCCCGTACGGAGCTGTAGGGCTGATAGATTAGGGCTGCTGCATCAGTGCAGAGTACAAAGTACAAGCAATACCTCTAAGGAATTGTGTACTGCATAACTACGAGACAATTTATCTTATTAATAAATGGCCATAGTGTGCTGAAGAACAATGCAAGGTGTCAGTCTAGGAACAATGTTAACGTGAGCATTGTCCTTCGTTAGCTGTGGATGTTGGCAATCTATCTACTTGGCAAATATATAAATATATGTTTTCTGCCTTTACTGTTGTCTCACATTTCTATGGAAGAATCATCTTCAGAAATGTTAGAAAGGTCTTTCCTTTCATCAATTTTCATTTATCGAGCCATCGTTGGTTGATTTGAAAATGGATTTGGGGCCGAAGATGATGACTTCTGATTTGTCGCAGTTGAGTTTGAGAAAGTTGGTCTGAAGCCAGGATTTTATTTCTGTGATGTAGTCAGTGTGGATTGAGTGAGTGGCAGGAGTGATGGCTTTGGTGGAGATGTGGAGCTGGATATCGTCGGCAAAGCAGTGAAACTGGAATCCATTTATTCCTAACTACCCCGTACATTATGAAAAGCGTTCTTGCTAGGCTTCTGCACTGTCTGAACTTTTTAGCTCCAAAATGATAAAAAAAAAAAAAAAAACACATTTTCTGAACGGTGTAACATCCCTCCAGAAGTGTTGATTTTAAGCCATGCAGTCACATGACAACAATACTTAATTTTACATTTATAAATGTGCACATTTCTTGCCCTTGATGCCATGTACGTCCAATTAATCTAGGTCACATGTTCATGAACAATAGCTCAATGAATGTGTTTTATGTTTGGTTAAAGCTTTGCATTGTTGAGTAGCTGTCCTTTGTAAAGTTAAAACAGTAAGTTGTAGATGTGGCCAGGGGTCTTTTGTACATTTCTAGTTGTTTGATGAAATCTAGAAGAATGGAATGCGTGTCATTCGGTGGGCTAGTTAGGCAGTTAATGGTTTGATTTACAGTTTACTGAAAAAATAGCTTGGCTTCACTCTATCACTACTAAGTCCCAATTTCCACATACTCCATTCACCGCAGTCCTTCAGTGATGCGCACTACACCACCGTTTGCTGCCACTCTCGCAGTGAGAAGAAGGTGATGTTCCAATCTTTTGTGCACTAATCAGCATTGATTGACGTAAATCTGAATGTCTGAAAACCACACATATACAGGCCTGGTGAAGCAGATCAGCTGAGTGTTTGAGTGTAAACCTCTGTGTTGAAGTATTTTCTCTAACCGCAAGAGTTGCTTCTCAGTCATTAAGTTCTTAAAGTTAGGTTATTTCTATTGTGTACAGTAAATCTCTCATTTTGTAGAGAAAAACACAAACACAGCCTCTAGCTATTGGATTTCTACAGCTAAAATGTACAGTGCTGTTTCCATAATGTATCTATTCGCCCACTTTCTCCTCACAGTCATCAATCAGTCGGCTCAAGATGAATGTCTAGAACAATGCCATGGAAGCACAGCCCAGACTTTTGCTTTTTGTCAGTATCGGTTTCCTCAGTATCTACATCCATTATTAGTACCAAACCTAACATTTGGAGTTGCCAAGAAAACAAGCTTCTTCTGTACAGCTGGGCCACTAATGAAGCATACAGTGCACTGTAATAAATCTAGACATATCGACCCACCGCTTGTTCTATTAAGAGAGCAGTTCCAGCATTGGCTTACATTGTTGCAGGCAAACAGGACACCTCAATCTCACACATGCTCATAAACATGCAGATATACCTGTTTGAATGAGCACAAGTATACAGACCTGAGGAAAAAAACACTTTTACAAGTTATAAAGCCATAACCATGTGTATAGGTATTGCACAATAAAAACAGCATGTTTGCTTTTTGTTCAGGGTTTGTTTAAAGATCCTATCTCGTTGATTGCTGGGCACCCTGGCGTCTTTACAGCCCTCTCAAGGATGGATTAAGAGATGTGAAAGGCTGAAAATGGTCTATTTTACACCAAGAGGTGAGGACAGAGTGCTGGCCTGCCTCAGTAACCATGGCAACAGATGGGAATGGGAAGAGCAGGTACCTCGTCCAAAGCAGGGCAAATTGGACGTTCCGCGACACTTCTTCAGACTGCTCTCCAGAGACAGGGAGCAGGACAGAGGATGCTCGCACTTCTTCCCGGCCCATCCGTCCTTGCAGTCACACCTGCCACAATTACACTGGCCCTGACCTGTCGACAGGAGAGAGGGGAAGAGGTGAGGGAAGCAAAGAGGTGAGGCAAAGTGGAGGCTTGTACAAGGAAATTTCAGATTAAATGTACTGAGAGGTAAAAAAAAAATAACAGCATCCGGTGAAGTGGACACATCTCACAGAGTAGAGAGTTGGAATGCTTGTGGAGGAGAAAATAAGGCAAAAGGGAAGTTATATGCAAAGGAGAGGATGGGAGGAAGTCAAATAAATAAAGGGCAGGCCATGCTGGGGTCAGAAAATGAGGTAAGATTTAGAGCTACGTCTGAATTTATTTAATTTTATTCATTTATTTTGACGGGGACAGTGTACACTAGCCTATGACAGTAGCTGTATTGATGCTGGATGAACAGCATTAATAGGTTATTCTGTCAAGGGGAGAGAAAATATATGTTAAAACAAATCTAATGAAGGAGCATTACAATGGAGGATGTGGTCTGTATTCTTTAAAAGTGAATCTGCATTAGCAGGTATGTGCCAAAGAACTGCTTGTAGTATGAAAGAATGCTACTGGTGCATGAATCATCATCTTAACCAACAGTGGATACAGTGGTAGCATCCATCATATTTTGGTTCATTAATTCTTTAGAGAAACCATGAAAAGGTCATCCCTACTTCTCCCTGGTTTATTTTTGAGTTATATGTCAGGTTCACTTGCACTGCTGTAAAGTTTCTAAAGGGAAAAGAAGCAAATGTGGTCGTTGTAAAAAGCAGAAAGTAGGCTAAGCTACATTAAGTTAAAGGTGAAAATGAATATGCATTGAAAAAAATCCAATACTGAATACAGATTTAAATTCAATAGGCTAGCTTCTTTAACGTTAAACTGTAACAATACTAAAATGCTCTCAGAACTTTAAACTAACTTCAAATTTAGTTGAGCCAGCAGACAGACAGCTTAGCTTTGCATAAAGTAAAACAACTGGAGAAAGGAGCTGGCTGGTTCTGTCGAAAGGTAACAAATCACACTAACCAAAAGTGTACTGTAACTATCAAAATTGTTGTTTTACATTTCCCTGGTTAGCTTCTAAATGGTCTACTGTACTGCTGCAATGTCAGCACCTGGCTAGCTTCTACCTGGCTAATTGTACAATAGTCATTTTTAAACCTATTTCTACCAGGCTAAGAGTACAATCATTTTAGAGCCTGGGTAACTTATGCTGGACGAGTTCCAAATTAACATTTTGAACACTGGCTAGCTTCTACCAGGCTTTGTGTACAATAACATTTTGAAGCCTGGTGAGCTTGTTCCCTAGTTGCTGGTCTTGATGCTTAGCGAACTGAGAGTGGCTCCACATTAAAGCTAAACATAAAGAGGACAGTTATGCGGATTGTTGTATCATTCTCATTCAACTCTCAGCAAGAGATGTATTTTAAACAGGCTTCTGATTTCTTAAATACAGCTTACCGGAGCAGAAGTCATCCGTGTATCGGTCGTAGGTTGCATGACAGTTTCTCTCATCACACTCGCATGTGTCTCCATGAATATCTCCCCAGTCGCCTGAGGGATCTACATCGTGGCAGCTACACTCCCCACACACACAGGTACCTAACAGCAAACACATTTTCACATTGTATTAATTCTCCATTTCATGTGCTTCAGCCTTACAATACAGAAAACAAAAACAAAGCACAAAGCAGCTAATTGACTGTGATGTGAACAACAGGGAGACGCTGCTTACACATACAGTATGTGGGTGGCGTGTGAGTATATATTTTCTTCTACTTTAACAAATCCTGTCCCATCAGGAGGGATATTCCTTCACTTTCTATCTAATTTTTCTTCCTTTTATCTATCTACCTGTCTATGTGTGTCTCTTTTTCTCATTTGTTTTACGTCTTAGGCACGGCATCAGCTGAGCAGCAGCCAGTGGAAAAGCCATTTTCTCTTATCAGCAGTGACAGAGCACAGGGGAACCCCGGGGGAGCAGGGCCAGCTGGCAGGCCTATGGGCAGTGGCTGCCGCGTGTCTGGCCCCTGGCCCTCAATTCAATCCCACTGACCACCTCGTAATCCCAGAGCCTTGGATTATAGAGCCTTGCACTTTAATGACACCAGGGCAGGTTACATCACTTGTACTTGTTACTCTTTTTAAAAAGGAACACCCATACAATCTATAAAATCAGTTCCCTGTTATGAATACATTCATTTTCCAAATACCGTTTTTCACAATTTGTTCTTGTCTTCCAGCTCCATAGCAGCATCACTTCCACACATGAAGGAGGATGATTCCTCTTTGGGTTTCTCATGCGACCATATTATCTCAGGTTTAAATTGTTTTGCTCAACGAAATCATATATAAATGCATATATTTAGCCTCCAGCATCATCATTTTGACAGCACGCCAGTTGGTTTATTATTAGCTCAACCAAGGAGGCTAGGTGAACGTACAGGCGGAGGGGGGTTGACAGTTTGTTGGTTTGAAAGAGAATAATCTGGTGGGTATTGTCAGTCAAATCATTCACTCATTCATGTCACAGTGTGAGCAGAGCAGGGGATAAAGGTGACTGTTGAGCAAAGTAAAAGAGAGAGAGAAAGATGATGTTTTCCATTATTATTCAGAGCACTTAACTCACCCATAACTATACAGGGCAATGAAATAAAATCCACCCTCTTTATGTTACCATTTTTCCTCTATCCATCTCATGATATAATCAGCGGGAATTATCTCCACAATGCTTTGAAGAGAATTAATTCAGAGCATAATGGTTACATATGGAACATACTGTATATAGGGATGGGAATAGGGAGTTGTTGAAATTATAATCAGAGCCAGATTTTGTCACTTATCAGATCTGTACAGAGTGTGTGAATAATGCTCTATGACAAGATGTTTGCATAAATTGGTGCATGCAATGGGGAAGGCAAAAAATAGAAGGATTTAATATTCATCTATGGCTACAAGAAGGACATGCTTAAACAAGTATTGTTTTGAAACTACTATAGCAGCATTGCATTTTCACAATTTCATCAGTTATCTCGAGTTCATATGATGTAATGCTATTATTACAGACATTTCTTACCACCAAAGATTCAAATGCAACAGCTTGGTCAATAGCTTTTATTCACAATGTCGTTGTCATTTCTGAATGCTAACCTCTTGTTATTTTTTCATGAAGAATTAAAGTTGGCTGACATAAAATTAAAGAGACTGATGACTCAATTTTAGAAGTTGACATATTCATAAGTTCTTACACACTTTTTGTAAAGAACGTTATATAGTATTGCAGGTGAGTAACATAACTAGTGTGCATGCATTATTACGTACTTTAAACCAAAACCTTGTTGTTCTTCTTAAAGGCTTTATATGCGATTTTTCACGCTTTAATGTAGTAGAAATTAAGTATATCCTCTGAAAATAACTCTGTGAGTTATGACTGTCTATTTAGAGTGCTTCTCAAGACACTTACGGAAGTTATCCACTTCCGCTAACGTTGGCAGTCACCGTTAGGTCTGTTTCAAATAGATTTGTATGTTTAATATTTGCCTTTATTCATAACTTTTACTCAAACAAGGGAAGGGTAAAGTGTAATTTCATTATCATTAGCTTGTACCCTCAAATCTCGGTATACATGAGATAATCTGTGTGAGGAAAATAATTAGTCGTTGGTGTTTGTTGGTGACTAAGTTGAAACCAGAAGTGAAGTTATTGTTTGGGCCATTTTTGCCTCAATAGGGTAAGACAGGTGAAGAGAGACTGGAAATGCTGGGAGGAGAGTGTTTGGGTTGACATACGCAAAGGGCAGAGGTTGGGTTCAAACTAATGCTGAAATGAGGACTACTGCCTCGATACATTGGGGTGGTTGTTTGTTGTGATTAGGAAGCTGAGCACTGAAAACGCTGAACTGCATAGATTGTGTATAGAAATGTGCCCTGTCAGCACAGAAAAGGTTGGTTGTGGGGCGCTGGTGGCGCAGTGGTTTGTGCGCGCGCCCCATGTATGGAGGCATTGCTCCTCCAAGCGGGCAGCCCAGGTTCAAATCCCACCTGTGGCTCTTTTCTGTATGTCATTCCTTACTCTCCCTCCCTGATTTCCAACTCCATCCACTGTCCTATCTTCCATTAAAAAAAGGCAAATCCCCCCAAAAAATCTTTAAAAAGAAAAGAAAAGGTTGGTTGTGGATACAGGGCCTGAAGAGGACAGAACTGAAATGTAACAATTGCGTAACATGCGTTAATGCTTAAAGGCCAAAAGTCATAAAATGTTTTGATTTAAAAATGTAACCAATGTTGCTTTTCAATTTCTCTTCATCATCATTTATGGCATAAATTGGATTAACTCAAATAATAAAAAAAGTTATTAATATATCATACATTTTTTATAAAATCAGTTTTAAGTCATGTAAGTCAGTGAATATTGCCAGCTACTGAAAAGCCCTTTTGATTTATTTTAAAGATTTTGTTGCAGTTGTTCATCAGAAAATGGCATATCTTGTAAAAGCTGTTGTGTTTGTTCTTTTCACATAAACAGTTTAGTTTTTGGCTCAACAGAGACACGCATGAAACTCAATCATAGCTTTCAAACTTGCTTCTTATTCCAGAGCCAGAAAAATGCATCTTTAGGAAAAAGCCAGAATTTGAATGATTAGGGTGCATGCACATCAAAGAACTGGGAAATATACAAAGCTGGAAACAAAGGCAGATGAATACATTTAGGTTGATTTATGAGTAAAACCATACATTTCTCAAACTGATATGAACTCTTTTTGCATTACAGCCAAAGTCTCTTTGTTCTTTTCTCTTGTTCCTCATGGGATCCACTGGCCTTTGTTAACCTTTTCTATCCTGAAGAGGAGTACAAAAGGATACTACAGCATGAACACAGTGGATGGATGTTCATGCTGTGGCAGCTGTGCACTTAACCATAAATCATGGGACTTGGTGCATGTAGCTTACCTTTTAGCCCTATACCACTTAGCCAGCCCTAGCCAGTCCAGTGTAATTAATTTTAGAGAGGTTTTCTGAAATCCCTCAGGTCCACTTGAGCTGGGTTAGAGAAGCTATTTCTCTGACTGCCTGTCCGACAAGCTCTGATGACTATCAGTGGAATTTACATGAGAATTTATCAACCCAGAGTATACCCCTGCATTTATCATTTTTTTCCCTATTTATCTGCATTTTTTTCCCACAATTGCGATTTTCAAGGTGAATCTCAAGGATGAATCTTTTCATTTGTGGTTTGACAGATGACACAATGAACTTGGGTCTTCTCATCATCCACGCAAAAATTATGATGGCACACCAATTTATTTTTATTTTATTCATTTTCCACTATTTCTCTCTGTTGTTTCCTGTTTCCTAGCAACACAATTCTTTCAAAAATGATCACATGTATGATTCACGGTTAATCACGGTTAAATTTGTTTCGGTATAATTTTTGCTTTGACAATCATTGCTAAAAACATCCACAGGTAAAAGTGGCTGTCAGAAACAGCATGCTCTAAATATTTGTTATATTTTGGTTGTATTTTTTTGTAATATTTGGTATTTGGGCTGCATTTCAGATAAAAGACAACTGACATTTCAACATGCAATATTATCACAACCAATAATCAAGGCTGAACAATTAAAATTTGTGCCAGACATGTGCTGTATTACAGTATATGCTTGCTGTGAAACAGGTAAACAGACCTCTGTTGCTGCAGATTTTGCCATCTGGAGATGTGCATCTTCGCTTGCTCTCCCATGGGCTGATGTCACACTGGAATTCACATTTGTCTCCATGCCAACCAGCAGCACAGTAACAGTTTCCACAGTAGCACTGGCCGTGGCCTGTAAGCAGATCAGAAAGCATGTGCAACAACTGTCATTGTTGTAGATTGACAATTAAACAACTGAACTCAGCAACTTCAATATCAACTGTTTAAGATTTTATGTGGACAATATCGTTTTTTTTAAAGGATGGCAAGGTTAGGTTAATGATCACCCAAAACCAGTAGCTCCCTCTTACTTACGAAAGAAGAACACATCATTTAACTTTAAATTTTCTTTGAAAAATATAAAAAAACAGAAAAATACCAACAGAAAAATACCCAATAAAAACAACAATGTAGCAATAAAACAAAAAGACAGAGAATAAAATAGAATGAACGAAAACAATGCAGACCATTCCTGTGGAGTTGGTCAATCAGAATCATGTATTCAACACAGCCATGTAATAAGAATGGTATAAGGTTTCAACTGATTTAATAGTCTTTCCATCACTCTGAGTCAAACAAAAGGCCTTAGAGGTTAACTTAATTGTATATATTTTTTAAAACAGCTACCGTAATTATCATTGTCAATCAAGCACCAGTAAAACCTGTTGTGAATATGCGGTGGGGAACAGGCATAATTAAGCTTAGGCAATAACACAGGCTAATGCAGTAAGCAAGAAACAACAAGAATGAACTTCCAGCTGTCTTTGACCTAAAAAGACACAGAGCTGACAGAGGTTATCTCAGGGCAAAATGCTCATTTAAAACCTTACCTTTGATGGCCTCATGTGGGATAATGCTCATATGACCTTGAACCAACAATAAAAAGAAGCTGAACAAACAACATATGTAAGTTGTTTAGGATTTTGTTAATTTCCTTTCCTGCTAGTTAGATGTAAAATTCAATATCAATTTCAACTTGTTTCACTCTCCAGAGGAACATATTAAAGCAAGACAAACAGCTAATGTTAGCTTGCTGCAGCACCAGAAAACTTTACAGCTCCCTCACTTACACATTTATGTATAATACACGTGCAAAAAAAGGAATTGTGTGAGCTAAAAAGTTGAAGATATTTTTTACATTAGAGACCTGGCTGAGTTGACAGATGGGCTGTTGTAGTTATTTAGCAGGAGGCTTAAGGCCTGCACCTTTTTGCCGGTTTCAATCAATATTTAGTTGGACTCAACATCTCCATATGCCGACCACCATCTTTGGCTCTTAACTCCTCTTCAGAAACCAGTGGGTGATGCCACTGAGACTACATCAATGGCGGGGGAGAATGGGGGGAGGAATGGGGTTTTGGGGCATACCTCCACACACCTCTCCGGTGTCTTCTTCCAGGCACTCGCTGTCATCACACTCACAGAAACGTCCCGTCACCAGACCCCTGTTGTCCTCGCTGTTACACATACAGCTGCCACACTGACAGGTGCCTATAAAAGATTCCAGTTTTAGTCACATTTTGTTGGAAAATGTCATGTTTATGTGTGTTTGTATGGTTGTGGATGGAAGTATGTGTGCAGATCCAGGCTTGTGTTCTGTCAGTGTGTGCAATGTGTGTGCAATGTGCTTTTTTAAAAGATGCATCACAGGGACAGAAGGCTAGATAATGACCTATAAGTTTGCATTTCTAAGCTCTCAAACAGGTCCCTCACTTTACTGCACAAGCTTATACAGACACGCAAATACACGTGCATCCTTCATTTTGATGAGGCCCGTGGTGAGGTTAAGCCCAAGTCATTGAAGGGCACAGAGTGGGAAACAACCTCGAACCATCACCTCGTTGTGTGTGTGTGTGTGTGTGTGTGTGTGTGTGTGTGTGTGTGTGTGTGTGTGTGTGTGAGAGCCAAAGTTTAGTTGAGTTTCCACAGATATAAACACTAATTGTGAATCCAATACACTCATTGTGTATTAATGTATGACCCTGTGTTATTGAAAAATAGATTGTTTATACTGATAGATATAAGTATCTATTTACATGTTCTTCTGGTTTAATAGAAGAAAATATACAAATGTTTAGTAATTTTCCATTCAAAAGCTCAAACCTACTCATACTATAAACCACAGACATCATGGCTTGGTATAAAACATGTACCACATAATCCAACAATTATTAATGTTTGACCATAGACTGTATATAGAAGTGAATGAATCCTCTTGGTTTCAAAGGTATAGCCTGAGGAAATGCCTTTAACTTGAATACTTCATGATGAACAGCCTGCTGGTGACATCACAGGTTGGGAAAGGATGTTTGATTCTATGAAAAGCAAATACAATCTCATTGTAATATTTTTTTATTTTATTTTATTTTTATAACAGTTTGAGACTCGCCCAACAAATGTAGGTACTGTTTTACAAAGACCTTTTAGGTTAACTTTGATAACTAGAAACAGACGTAGCCTCTTGTTGTTATAAGTGAAGCCAACGAGGAACCTGCATTCTTTCTAATGGTCAGCAGGGGGAAGAAGGAAGTATGATTCTTTTAAAGCTGATAAGAAAAATACCATACTTTAAAGATTAAAAAACTCTGTAATCAATATTCCAATAAGTTTATGGTGTCGACAGCTAAATAAAGACTTCTTCAAACTAAAACCATTGGTGACAATCTGAGTAAATTTTAAGAAAAGCAGGTTTGCTTTTGTGTATGGCAACCTGTCATTGAATGACAAGTTGTAACCACAATGACCACTTCAAAGGGCAATCCCACACGATATGTAGCAACGTCCACTTCTTATACACAGTCTATGAGATCACATAGGAGTAAGAAATGAGATTGCAATTATTCTTGCTACTAGATTTTTACTAAAAGATGCATTTATAGATGTATACGCCTATATAAAGCATTTTTAACAGCCATTATTTCCAGTGTATAAACCTTTTACAAATAATTGCTTTTTGGTTTAGTAGTTCAAAAAGCAATACACTTCAAAGTCAGTTTCATGTGAATTTTATGTATATATTTTGTGTGTGTATGTATATTTGCAAATTGCATTTTTTCAATTCCTTCAGTTTGCCTGTTGCAGTTTTTCTAATGTGTTTTTTTTTTTTTTTGACGAACATTGTGTCACATGTGTTTGTGTGTGTGTGTTTTTTTTGTTGTGCACAGCAGGCTACCTCTGTTGGAGCACACCACCCCCTGAGGGTTTTTGCAGAGCTCTTTGCTCTTCTTGTTGGGTAGGTTACACTCCTCCTGGAACTGGCAGGCATCTCCGGACCAGCCGTCATCACACTCACACATCCCACAGTCACAGTAGCCGCGGTCTGAAGGGAAACAAAACACACCACACGCTGTTTACTGTGTCTCAAATCGCTCTATAAACACAAGGAGACACATAAATGTAATCTTAAATGGATATGATGGCAGAGCAGTGCTCGGAAAGTTCAGGAATTATGTTTATGAGATTAATTAGGCTCCCAGAAACTTTATCCGTCCAAGTGACTCTATTTTAACGGATGTAAAAGATAAGACATTTACCTTGAGATGCACAAATATACGTCGAGAAAGCAAAAGGCAAAACAAAGTCATACTGTATATTGTTGAAGCTGAATTTGCAACCCTTTTGTTAAAAGCTATACAATCAGTCAGTGTGATCATAACCTTATTCTATAGCGTCCTGAGGACCTACACACAGATTGGCATCACAATTTTTCTTCATTCTGGTGGCCGTTGTGAGTAATATGAAAACATGAGGGATCATATGATGCAAATGAAAGCTGTTGACAAGTTATTATAAATGTTGTTCCCTTTGCATTTAGCAGCGAGAGGCCTTGTATGTCACTCTCAATCATCGCCCTGACACGTTCATCATGTAAATGTGGTGTTCATTTCAAGGGCTATCCATCAGTCATTAACTACAGGAAGGTCCCCCGTCCCTCCTCATTATCAGAACCTCTCAGAGGACATTATGGTATTATGTTCAAGGAAAAGAAGAAAAAGGAAATGTGTGCTTGAGCCACAGAGACAAAAATAACCCTTAAAGGAAGAAACATATTTCAATGTAATCTTAAATGTGATTACTATTTGGTAATTTGAAGAATAGTTCATACTTCCAAAGTATTTCAATCAGGTAGGTTAGAAATATACATTTTTTCAATTCAAGGGATTTTCTGTAGGCCATGGGTTCCCAAACTGTTCACCTCACGACCCCTAAATTAGGGTGCAAGAGACTGGGGAGCCCCACTGTCCCTGGAGGTGGTTAAGGCTACAACCAAGTGTACCCAAAATGGTTAAAATATATAATTGTATATAATTGTATATGATTTGAGATTTGTATTTGGTCTTTTTTAAGGCATCTCGCAACCCTCTTCTTGGTGGCACGCGACCCCCCCCCCACTTTGGGAACCACTGCTCTAGGCTATACTACTGCCCATCCTGACTATGTCTTCCGTACTGCACCTCTGTTCAACAACAAACTCGTCCATCCCCCTTGTTTTCCCATTTGTTGGTGATTCTTATCATTCCAATTATAAATTAGTAAATAAATCATTAAAGTTTGACCTGGCCATTTGTAAACATTTTATTGCTTAGTTATTTTGTTTGATTACTACACAGAAAACAGACTCATAGATAGTATAGAGATAATCTGAGTGTAATTGTTGACATTTCTTTTTGGATTTTCCATTTATTTGTGCAAGAGGGAACAACCACACATTAGCTGTTAAATCGAGTTACATTAAAGTCCTTCCAACGTAAATTGAGCCGAATATTACCAAGTCACTACCTCCCACGAGCCCCCATTAATCTCTGCTTGGCAATCACTTTGACACATAAAACGGCCCCTCTTTGTCTGCTATGGGAGAGTTTATGTGTGTGGGAAGGTTCCTGTCTGTCGACAGTTTATCTTTCTTGGTGTTTCCTGAGCAGTAATTCAGTGGCTTGAGGGTGTATGGGTGCTTCCTACATGCGGCTGAACACACTATCTTGCCTAGTGTGTCCAACCATGCACAGACACATCCAATAAGGGTCAGAAAGAGAGGTTGCATCTCCGTCACCATCAATAGCAGTAATAACGAATGATGTGGTGCTACCATGATTAGCTGCTGATGGAGAGAGGATGGTGACTCATGCAGATAGTCTCATGTTTAGAATAGGAAGCACCTCGTGAAGTGCCAAAGACTGCAGTTCCTTAAGATTCCACTCGAGGCCGGTTCCAAAAGAAAGTCAATCCCCTTTAGGTGCTATACTTACACGTAAAATTTTACAGAAATATTAAACATGTCGAAAGCTTTGTACAAAAAAGAGCTTTGGCTCTTTAGTTAGTTTCTTACTTCGTAACAGCTGTACAGTCTTTTGGGAAAGTTGGTGCTCTAGCTGTTTGCTATTATCCTGTATTATCTCAGCTAAATTATGTCACTCAACTTTGGTACCTTTTGGGGATATTTCATGCAATTATAAGAAATTGTTTTGCTAGGCCACCCAAATGTCTGTGTTGCAACTTTTTAGGTAATTGAAAACTCGAATGTACTATTTATTTGTTAGCAATTGCAGGTATCTGTGTCGATGCTTATCATACCAAGTGTGTAAGGTCATTAAGTTTTTTCTCGTACATTGATTACATTTTGGCAGTCGGTGCATGGGGATGGTTGTTTGCTTCTTATGGTGTAAAGAAGACTTCAAATCAATGTGATGAAGAAACCAATTCTATAAATGAATCGGTTTGTATTGTATACTACTAGCAGCTCTATTAATGGAGATGCGATCAGCTAAGCTAGGTGTTGCACACCTGCTAAGAATTTTAGTAAATTAAACAAAAACGACAAGATTTTTTTTCATCAGAAAAGCATTTCATTATGTGGGGAAGATGATGGTTAAGTAGCTTATTTGCCAGGTTATGAATTATCCATGGGAACAGACTATAAAACTACTTCAGCATGCGGTAGCCAACCCGTTGTTCGTCCGGTCGCTCAACCAAATATGATCACTTCTGATACCAGAAAACCATCTTTGCAGCGGCCGAGATGCAAAAATTGAGGCTTATAAAGGCAGGTGACGTTAGAAGGGGTGACCTAATGGTGGCAACTTTCACGATTTAGAATCTATGTTACAGAATGTATTTTCATCCTGATTATTAACAAGAGTATACTGTGAAGCAGATACAAAATATGTTGAGCATAAAAAATGCTGGATTTTTTTTTTAACAATTACATGAAACCAAAAGTAATTTCCTCCTTTTGAGTAGAATACATTTTTATCGCTTCTATTTGCAGCAGTCTTGAGACTATTTGAGTATTTGATACAGTTTCAATTATAAGCAACACTATAATGCCAGTTATAGATAAAATAATACATATATAAATAAACTCCCAGAGATGTTCTCTGTGCTTATTTATTATTTCCACTTAATTGTTCTCCTCCAAATGACACTTCCCTCACTTATTTTGTTTAGATCACATTCTCCATAACATGATACTCATTTCAGCGGGTAATTATTCCTGCCTGCTTTCTGCTCCCTGAGGGTTATGGAGCGTGAAACGGCTGAACGTCAGCTCATGTTCTGTGGAAAAATATGTAGGAGACACCTGTCTCAGGTAATAACTCAGCCTCTGTGTCTTCCTCCAGCCTCTGTATCTTCCTTCCTGTGTTATATAACTCTCCATCCAGGCATTCAGTTGTCAATTTTGGTGACATCATCATCTAAAAATGTAACCAGTTGTGTTTGAAAGCTGTGGACTACATGTGATTAGTGTAGTTTTGTAGTTACATTTAGCAGTAACATTTTAGAAGTCCATCTACATAGCCTACATAAATTAACCCAAATAGCTGTGAGTTATTATTTTTTGTAATGTTAACGTCCAGATCTGTCTGCATAAAAAGGACAGTTGTAAATGAATGTATCAAACTACATTACGATAGAAGCCACCGGAGTGCTGTGTTTTTGAGTTTTTGAGGCGCTAGCCCCGCTGACTGTAGAACAAAAACACAATTATATAATTTGTAAAAAAAATTAAATAATACTAGATTAGCCTCTAATTTTGGTGAAACTAGCTAATTAATTAATAAAGTAATTCTATTCTATTCTATTCTATTCTAATTACGCTAAGTACTTTCTGATGGAAAGATAGCTACTTAGTGAAACATACAATAGCCATCCGTTAGCTGTGAGCTAACAGTACCAACAGCTAACAGTGGTAGAAACAGAGAAAATCTACTCCTGCAACAGGGGCTACTTTCAACTTTCTCTGCTGTGGTTAAACTACTTCCGCTGTAAGTAGCTTAAAGTGTAGCAAACATCTATTTCGAGCTAGCCTTCCAAACACCGCATAGCTGCAGAGAAACACTTGTTCTGACACCATGAAGTCCTTGGGAGCTGTAAAGGGTCCCAATCAAAACAGCTTTTTACCAATAGACTTGGACAGACTTGAGTAGCTTTTTTCTACTCGCAGCCCACGCTGGAATCATTAGGTGACTCACCACTCAGGCACACTGCCTGGCAAAGCTCAGAATATCAAAGTAAGAGCACATCAAAATATGTACTGGGAACAAAAAAAAATACAATTTAATGGGCTGTAATGGCTGAAGGACTGCATTCCACTGTGTCTCTATTTTCTATTTCTCTCTCTTCTCTCTCTTTTGGAAATCAACATTAATTCTGCATTAACCCTATTAGTTGGCTTTTGCAGATTATTCCATGATTACTGTTTATATCCTCTGTCTATTATTGTACATTTTGGAAGCCACTTCATAACCTTTACGTAATTCTGGCTGAAAGCGCATCTGGAAGAGTTTGATTTGAAACAGCAATGGACAAGCTGACTTCCTATGTACTGCTGACATGAAAACCCCCTTGGGTGGGATCCTCTCTGGCTCTGTTAAGGGTGCAAAGAGCCTGCGGGGCCAAGCCAGGAAAAGAATAGAGGCTCTAGAAACAAAAATAGCCTGGACGAGAGAAAGTGGAAGAAAGAAGGCTAAAATGTACACTTCCCAGATAACAACAACCATCAAGGGGAATGGGTTTTTTCTTGGCTGCTTCTTAGGGAGGGAGGGAAGGACACGTGTATAATAAAGTCTGCCAGAATCATAAAGTTACAGATTTTTCTGGAGCACACAAATACTTGGCCTTCTGCCTCAATCCACATCAGTGGCTCTAGGGAAGGTAGTTTTAGTTTTTAGTAAGACATGTAGACACAATCCCTGTTCTGAGTTTGATTTTTTTTTAAAGTAATTACAATTTGAGTTAGAAAACATTCAAAACCATTTGATTCCTTTCAAAAACCAAAGACTGTCCTTGAGTTTGCAAAGTGACTGATACTAAGTACCGATC